TCTACAGGTTGACATCCAATTGTGCCAGCACAATTTGTTGAAGATGCTTTCTTTCTTCCATTGTATACTTTTAGCTCCTTTATCGAAAATGAGGTGCTCATAGGTTTGTGGATTAAAATCCAGGTTTTCTATACAATTCCATTGGTCGAATTCTCTGTTTTTATGCCAGTACCACACTGTTTTCATCACTGTAGCTCTGTAATAGAGTTTGAAGTCAGGGATGATAATGCCTCCAGCAGATCCTTTATTGTATAGGATTGTTTTGGCTATCCTGGGTTTTTTGTTTTTCCATATAAAGTTGATCATTGTCTCTTCAAGATCTGTGAAGAATTTTGATGGGACCTTGATGGGGATTGCATTGAATCTATAAATTGCCTTAGGTAGAATTGCCATTTTTACATGTTGATCCTCCTGATCCAAGAGCAAGGGAGGTCCTTCCATTTTCTGGTATCCTCTTAAATTTCTTTCTTCGATGCCTTAAAGTTCTTGTCAAATAGATCTTTAACTACCTTGGTTAGAGTTACCCCAAGATATTTTATGCTGTTTGTGGCTATCATGAAAGGTGAAGCTTCTCTGATTTCCCTATCTGCTACCATATCCTTTGTGTATAAGAGGGCAACTGATTTTTTGGAGTTGATCTTGTATCCTGCCACATTGCTAAAGCTGTTTATCAGCTGTAAAAGTTCTTTGGTGGAGTTTTGGAGGTGGCTTATGTACACTATCATATCATCTGCAAATAACGAAAGTTTAACTTCTTCCTTTCCAATTCGAATCCCCTTGATCCCATTATGTTGTCTTATTGCTATTGCTAGAACTTCAAGCACTATATTGAATAGGTATGTAGAGAGTGGACAGCCTTGTCGTGTTCCTGAGTTTAGCGGGATGTCTTTGAGTTTCTCTCCGTTTAATTTGATGTTAGCTGTCGGCCTGCTGTGTATAGCTTTTATTATATTTAGGTATGACCCGTGTATCCCTAATCGCTCCAATACTTTTATCATAAAGGGATGTTGAATTTTGTCAAATGCTTTTTCAGCATCTAATGAGTTGATCATATGGTTTTTTTCTTTCAGTTTATTTATATGATGGATTACATTGATAGATTTTCGTATGTTGAACCAGCCCTGCATCCCTGGGATGAAGCCTACTTGATCATAATGGATAATTTTTCTAATGTGTTCCTGGATTCGGTTTGCCAGTATTTTGTTGAGGATTTTTGCCTCAATGTTCATGAGTGAGATTGGCCTATACTTCTCTTTCTTGGTTGAGTCTTCGTGTGGTTTTGGTATCAGAGTGACTGTAGCTTCATAAAAGGAATTTGGCAAGGACTCTTCTGTTTCTATATTGTAAAATACATTAAGGAGTATAGGTATTAGGTCTTCTTGGAAGTTCTGGTAGAATTCCGCATTAAAACCATCTGGTACTGGGCTTTTTTTGGTAGGGAGGTTTTTGATAACAGCTTCTAATTCTTCGCGACTAACAGGTCTGTTTAGATTGTTCACCTGGTCCTGGTTTAACTTTGGTATATGGTATTTATCTAAAAAAGTGTCCATTTCTTTTACATTTTCCAGTTTTGTGGTATACAGGCTTTTGTAGTAAGATCTAATGATTCTCTGAATTTCCTCTGTGTCTGTGGTTATGTCCCCCTTTTCATTTCTGATCTTATTAATTTGCATATTCTCTCTCTGCCGTTTGATTAGTTTGGATAGGGGTTTATCAATCTTGTTGATTTTCTCCAGGAACCGTCTCTTTGTTTCATTGATTCTTGGGATTGTTTTCTGTGTTTCTATTTTGTTGATTTCAGCCCTCAGTTTGATTATTTCCAGTCTTTTGCTCCTCCTAGGTGAGTCTGTTTCTTTTTTTTCAACAGCTTTCAGGTCGACTGTTAAGTCTCCAATATGTGCTTTCTCTGTTTTCTTTAAGTGGGCACTTATTGCTATGAACTTTCCTCTTAGGACTGCTTTCATAGTGTCCCATTAGTTCGAGTATGTTGTTTCTTTATTTTCATTGAATTCAAGGAGACTTTAATTTCTTTCTTTATTTCTTCCTTAATCCAGGTATGATTCAGTAGTTGATTGTTCAGTTTCCATAATTTTGTAGGCTTTCTGGGGGTAGCATTGTTGTTGAATTCTAACTTTAATCCATGGTGATCTGATAAGACACAGGTGGTTATTAATATTTTTTTGTAACTGTGTATGTTAGCTTTGTTACCGAGTATGTGGTCAATTTTCAAGAAGGTTCCATGAGCTGCAGAGAAGAAGGTATATTCTTTCCTCTTTGGGTGGAATAATCTATAGATGTCTGTTAAGTCCATTTGCTTCATTACCTCCATTAATTCTCTAATTTCTCTGTTAGGTTTCTGTCTGATTGACCTGTCCATTGGTGAGAGAGGAGTGTTGAAGTTTCCTACTATTAGTGTGTGCGGTTTGATGGCTGCGTTGAGTTTTAGTAATGTTTCTTTTACATACGTGGGTGCTTTTATATTAAGGGCATAGATATTCAGGATTGAGACTTCTTCCTGATGAATTGTTCCTGTTATGAGTATAAAATGTCCCTCTCCATCTCTTCTGATTGATTTAAGTTTGAAGTCAACTTTGTTAGAAATTAGTATGGCAACACCTGATTGTTTCTTAGGTCCATTTGCTTGATAAGCCTTTTCCCAGCCCTTTACTCTGAGTAGGTGCCTGTCTTTGTGGTTGAGGTGTGTTTCTTGTAAACAGCAGAATGTTGGATCCTGTTTTCACATCCAATCTCTTAGCCTGTGCCTTTTTTATAGGTGATTTGAGCCCATTGACATTAAGTGATATTAATGACCAGTGGTTGTTAACTCCGGTCACTTTTTTAGTAGTAGAGTTTGTGTGTTTCCCTTCTTTGAGTTGCGATAGTGAAGGGTCTCTAGATGTCTGAGTTATTGTGGTCATTGTTGGACTCCTTGGTTAGTGATTTTCCTTCTATTATTTTCTGTAAGGCTGGATTTGTGGCTACGCATTGTTTAAATTTGTTTTTATCCTGGAAAATTTTGTTTTCTCCATTTATAGTGAACGAAAGCTTGGCTGGGTATAGTAATCTGGGCTTGCATCCATGGTCTCTTAGTTTTTGCAGTACATCTATCCAGGACCTTCTGGCTTTCATGGTTTCCATAGAGAAGTCAGGTGTAAGTCTGATAGGTTTACCTTTATAAGTAACTTGGCCTTTTTCCTTTGCGGCTCTTAATATTCTTTCTTTATTCTGTATGCTTTGTGTTTTGATTATTATATGGCGAGGTGATTTTTTTTTTGATCCAGCCTACTCGGTGTTCTATATGCTTCTTGAACCTTCATAGGTACATCTTTCTTCAGGTTGGGAAAGTTTTCTTCTATAATTTTATTAAGAATATTTTCTGGACCATTGAGCTGCACTTCTTCTACTCCAATTATTCTTAGGTTTGGTCTTTTTATTGTGTCCCATATTTCCTGAATGTTTTGTGATGAGAGTTTGTTGGACTTGCTGTTTTCTTTGATCAGAGTGTTTATTTTCTCTATGGTATCTTCAGAATCTGAGATTCTTTCCTCTATCTCTTGTATTCTGCTGGTTATGCTTGTTTCTGTAGTCTCTATTCATTTACCTAGATTTTCCATGTCCAGCTGGCCCTCTGTTTGTGTTTTCTTCTTTGCTTCCATTTCAGTTTTCAAGTCATGAACTGTTTCCATTATCTGCTTGATTGTTTTTCCTTGGTTTCCTAGGGTATCATTCACTGATTTACTCAATTCCTCAAACTTTCTGTTATTCTTCTCATCCATTTCTATAAGGGCATTTTTTATATGCTGTTTAAGGGACTCTATCACTTTCATAGAGTCAGTTTTTTCTACTTCTTCTTGATTAAGGTGTTCATGTCCTCCTGTTGTGAGGTCGCTGGGTTCTGGTGGTTTCGTGTTGTTTTTCAGATTGTTGGGTGAATTCTTGCATTGGCACCAGCCCATCGCTTCCTTTGAATATTCCCCTATGGATCTTCTTTTACAGGATCAGGTCTTCTTGCCCACTGATGTACCTTCCCAATGATGTCACTCCCCAGTGATGGTTCTCCTGGTGTCCAGATCGGATCTCGCAAAACAAGCGCCCACCCTGCTTGCTGCAGGCAGGCTATGGAGACAAAGGAACTACTGCCCTCCCTTTTGCCCTCCCGAATCGGGTTCGGTTCCAGCACCTTAGCAGGCTGAGCTGGGAGGTGCTATGCCACCAAAGAGGGGAGGGAGGGAGACAGGGAGACAGGGGGTAGGGGGTTCTGGATGTAAGCTCGGTGGGATCGGGCAGTATAGCCCCTGCAGGATGACCAGGAAATGGAGGAGGGATGAGGAAAGTCTGAGTTCCCTGATCCCTGCTGCTGCTGCACTCACTCACCCCAATGATGGCTCTCCCGGTGCCCAGATCGAAACTCCATGCTGCTTGGGTAGCTCGCAATCAAAGGGCCCACCCTTCTAGCTGCAGGCAGGCTATGGCAGGATAGTGTTTTCTATTTCCATCCATTTGCATGCAAAAATTCAAGAAGTCCTTGTTTTTTACTGCTGAGTAGTACTCTGATATGTATATATTCCATACTTTCTTCATCCATTCTTCCATTGAAGGGCATCTAGGTTGTTTCCAGGTTCTGGCTATTACAAACAATGCTGCTATGAACATCGTAGAGCATCGTACATTGTTGTATGATAAGTCCTCTCTTGGGTATATTCCCAAGAGTGGTATTGCTGGGTCCAGGGGTAGGTTGATGCCGAATTTCCTGAGAAACCGCCACACTGCTTTCCAAAGTGGTTGCACAAGTTTGCATTCCCACCAGCAATGGATGAGTGTACCCCTTTCTCCACAACCTCTCCAGCAAAGGCTATCATTGGTGTTTTTTATTTTAGCCATTCTGACAGGTGTAAGATGGTATCTTAAAGTTGTCTTGATTTGCATTTCCCTTATTGCTAAGGAAGTTGAGCATGACCTTAAGTGTCTTTTGGCCAAAATGGCCTCTTTCTATCCCATAGATCTGGCTGGGAAGACAGAATTGGAGCAATGCCAAGCAGATGCTGTCGTGGACACACTGGACGATTTCATGTCGCTTTTTCCTTGGGCAGAGAAAAATCAGGATGTAAAAGTAATGTGATAAACTTACTATTGTAACTGGGGCTAACCATGTATCACTGCTTGAAATTGCTTACAGGGCTTTATAAAGTTATTTTTAATTCATGTAATATGAAATATTATATATATGGAATATATACCTTTATAAATGAAGGCAAGGTCAATGATTTCCTGCTGTTCTTTGTGCTAACCCTGCTTCAAACACTCTTTAAAAATGTCTGTGCATGTGAACCTTTGGGAATGCATGTATGCCATGTGCATGCTGGATCCTGCCCAGGCCACAAGAGGGAGTCCCTGGAACCAGAGTTCCAGATGGCTGAGGCAGTCCTGTGTGTGCTGGGAAGCAAACCTAGGTCCTGTGCAGAAGCAGTAACTGGTTAACCCAGGAGCCATCCCTCCAGCCCACAGATCCAGCTTTTAATACTTTCTGCTATTCTCTGCTATTTACACACCTTCCTTTCTCCATTCTTCCTTTTCTTCTCTTTTTAAAAGTTTGTGAGTGTGTGTGTGTGTGTGTGTACGCACATGTGTATTGCTGTACATACCCACACAATTCACATCATGGATGTGAGGTCAGAGGATAACCTTCAGGAGCCAGCTCTCTCTTTCCACCATGTAGGTCTCCAGGACTGAACTCAGATCATCGCATCTGGTGGCAAGTGTTTTTACCTACTAAATCATGTCACCAGTTAATGCTCTCTCTCTCTTTCTCTCTCTCTTTCTTTGAAATAGTTCATTATGTAGACTACATAATGTGTGTCATTATATCTCTGTAGCATACACAAATATAATTTGATTTACCAATTGTAGAAAGTTCTTATAGACTTCTTAAGGAATCGGTAAGAATTTGTCTCTTTTTTTTCTTTTTATTAGACAGTTTTTATAGCTGAGGCTAGCCCCTAACTCACTATCTAGCTGAGGATGACCTTCACTCCTGGTCCTCCCAAGTGCTGGAATTACAGGAGTACAGCACCACATCCAGCTGGGAATTTATCTCTTCCTTTGTCATCTTCTCTGCCCCTTTTTCCCTAAGCTTTCTATATGGTGATAATAAAAATCTTTGAGCTAAAATAATCTTTTAGGATTACATAGCTTTGTATATGCAAATACAGACTGTGCATGGTAGTGTTTCAGTAATACTTTCTTTCTTACTTTTTCTCCTCAAAGTCAGGTTTTTACCTTTGCCTAATTCATTTTACTTTTTTTTTTTCCTAGAAACTTTCTACACTGTCTGGTAGACATTTCCCTCAAAGTCAATGATATCAGCCTGCCTTCTCTTTCCAGAGTTTCTGGGTGCAGCTGCCTCTCTGACACTCTGTTGAGCTTTCTGTACTCAAGGCCTTCCCTGCCCTGCATCCCTGTGGGTCTACAGAACCTTTGTCTCGGGCCTTCCTGTGACACCATCCCTGCCAGGCCTTCCTTCTAGGACTGAGTCTTGTTTCTAGGGTGATGCCCACTTTCTTGTGTATGTCATTGGTTTTTTTTTTTTTTTTGAGCAGGTCCTCTAGGATTTCAAAGATCACATCATTAAGAGAAGGTGTGATGGTAACAAGATACACAGGCTTCTCCATCTTGTGTCCCTGCTTTGGTTTCCCTGCGCACACGGTGCACACTTATTACCATCCTGAGTGTTTCTTTCGGCCCTATCCATGTTCAGCCTCCTGTTCTGTGCTCTTGTGTTTGTGAAAACCATCTTCAATAGCTTTAATGATTACAGAAAATCAAAAGTTTGATGCTTTATTAGTTTGCAACTTCTTCAATTGAATTTTTATCCGGTTTCATAGTTTGGTTGATGCTTTGGTTATTTTTTGGGTTAGTTTTTGGTTAGTTTTGTCAACCTTATACAAGTTAGAGTCATCTGAGAAGGAACCACAATTGAGAAAATGCTGCCTAGATAAAATTGGATTGTAGGCAATGCTGTGGATCATTTAAATTAGTGATTGATGGGGAGGGCCCAGCTGGTTGTGGCTAGGGCTATTCCTGAGCAGGTGGCCCTGGATGCTATAGGAAGACAATGCTGAGAAAACCATAGGAGTGAGCTAGGAAGCGGCATTCCTCCCCTCGCTGAGTTCCCGCTATAGTGCCTACTACCAGATCCTGCCTTGAGTTTCTGCTCTGTGTTCCCTCAGTGAGAGAATCTGAAACTCACCAATTCAGCTAGAGCGACAGGCCTACAAACCCACACACCCTTCCATTTCTGCTCTGCAGTGCTGGGGCAATAGCTGTGTATTAGAGAACCTGGTTTCTCCATGGGCATCCGGGACCTGTGGTGGTTGAGTAGGAATGGCTCCCACAGACTAACGTGATTGCGTACTTGGTCCACAGGGAGTGGCACTATTAGGAAGTGTGGCCTTCCTGGGGGAAATGTGACCCTGGAAGCAGGCTCTGAGGTCTCATATGGTCAAGCTATGCCCAGTGTGGCACATAGTCTCCTTCTGTGCCCGTGGATCAATATGGAGAATTCTCAGCTCATTCTCCAGCACCATAGTTACCTATATATTGCCACACTTCTTGCCATGACAATAGTAAAATAATAATAATAATAAACCACCTCTGAAACTGTAAGCCAGCCTCCGCTAAATGAATCCTTTAAATGAATCCTTTATGAGAGTTGCCATGGTCATGGTGTCTCTTCACAGCAGTAGAAACCCTATGAAGACAGGATCCAAGTTCAACTCTCCAGTCTTCAGCATCAAGCATCTTATCAACCGAGCCTTCCTCACAGCCTAGCATCGTCTTGTTTGGGTCCATTCAGCCTGAGATGTTTGAAAAAGTCAAAGAAATACCCTTAAATTCTTTTAAAATTCCGTCACTAGCCTCTCTCCATTAATTTATCTTATTTTTCTCACACAGAATGCCTGTTGTTGAGAGGCTGAGATCTTTTATATCTCCCATTCTTTTCACTTTTGTACTTTCTGAAAGAAACCCCCAACTAGAGTTCTAAATTTCCACCTCTTAGGAGAGGGTTGAAGGGGAGGGGAGGGGAGGGGAGAGGCAGGAAGGGGAGCAGAGAAAAATGTAGAGCTCAATAAAAATCAATAAAATTAAAAAAATACTTATCAAGTTTTAAAGTAGAAAATCTTTTATTTCTTGACAATTTCATACATGTATGTTATATGTATTTTGATCATATATACTGCCTCCCACCTCACTGGGCACTGCTTGAGATATCTCTAGATTCTTTTTATGTAGTGCTTTGTTTTGCTTGTGAGGATATTTTATGATTATTTTATGAATATACTGTCATCTGCCCTACCATTGCTTGTCTGTGCCAAATTCCTTTCCTTCCAGTTTGCTATAGTTCCTGTCAGGGTTCGGCAACCCTCTGGAATCCACGGTGGGCTGCGGTATTGTGGTTCATGGGAAGTTGTACGTATGTGTGGCTCCCAGTGTCTGCTGTTGTGATGGGAAGAGAGCCCGGAGAACACTGCCATCTAGACATAGTGAGAAGAGGCAAACAGTGGCTTTGGAATTTACCATCCAGTGTGGATATGTGCACACCAATCTTCTATTCTTAATACACTTTCTACGATACCCTCTGTCCCGGAAGCTATTTAGCCCCTCTAGCCTCCTGGAGAGAATGATGAGATCATGTCCATTAGCCTGAAATGAAGGAGAAGCCTCTTGAAGCTGCTTCTCTGGCAGTTCCCACCAGCCTCAGCTTCACGACCCCTCAGTTCCAGGCTGTATTCTGACTATACACAGGGTTAGTTGCCACCTTTTGCTCTGGTCCTCACTCCGCTTTTCCACCTCCATATAGGTTTCATCTTATAAAGCATGTGCACTAGTATTGAATTAGGATGGAAATAAACATATACAACTGTCAAACACATCACCTTTATACAATTTTTTTTATTCCAGTCCTCTACTGGCTTCCTCTGGGATACTTGCCACAATCTCATCTTAGAAATGTAGTTGGCACATGACTTCTTTAACAGAAAGCATCACCATGACAAGTAATAGGTTTATTATTTAACCAACCAATTGTCTTAGTGCCCTCTAATGGCCAAAACTGTTCATTGACTCGTTGCCAGAATTCTGCCTTACCAGATCCTACCGCCAGGGGATGCTCTCATTCCCTTGACATGCTATCTCCAGTGCAAAGCTGTCATTGTCAAGCTATCTTTCCAGACAAAGAAGCAACCAGGGTAGTTTGGAAGGTTCTCAGAGTCAAACAAGGGTAAGAATGTGACTTGAGTTCACCTGGAAAAGCTCTAGAACCTATGGTCTGATCACACGAAGTTTGACTGCTTCAACAGTAGTTAAGTCTGTGGGAACTGCCACAGGGCTTATTTCCCAGGCGAGGCATGGGGGCCTCACAGGTGTAAATACCTTGGGTTCAGATGTTTAGATGGGAAATACTGTGAAAGGAAAACGGTGGCCACTCTCAGACTGCATGGTCTTAACTCCTAGATGGATGTGATGTACCAGAAGCTGCCCTAAACTCTTGGCACAAATAAGAATTATGAATGAAAGAGACAGCCCAAGCCCAACGTCACAGCCCAGAACAACCAATGTGACTTTCATAATTTTCCTTAAACCCCTGCATTATAAACACTATCTCCATGGTTAGGAGCTTCTGATTGGAGATATTTGGACATAAATTTACTATTTATATAAATAAGGTGTGTTAGGAATATGAACAGAGAGGAGAGAGAGTGACGCACACACAAAGACTTGAAAAGCTCAGCTTTGATGACATAAATGTAAAACAACTTTTTGACATAATGTATTTGGGCTCTGGGGTCTTACACTGGGCGAATCACATTGCCTTCTTCCCACTGACATTTATTTCCCTTTTCACAGTCAATCTCTTTGAGTGTGAAGTATAGGTATGGACTCTCCTTTGAAGCACGTTGAGAGCATTCAATGGCAGTGTATATATATATATAAGGTGGAAAGTGTTTACTAAGCATCAGCTATTATTAATATGTTACAACGTTGTGTTAATTTGCCCTTTTATTTGTCAGCTGTGACACCTATTTTACATATCATTATAAACACATGGACAAATATGTCATGCTCTCCAATATAAAAAGAAAGTATATAAAGGTTTTAGTCCAGTATGCCAAAGACCTCTCTGCTAGGCAGTCTGCCACCTTCTCAGCTGGCCTTTCTCTGTTTTCTGTCTTTCTGTGACTGAGGAGCCATGACAGAGGACATGGATACTCTCCCGGAGGAGAGCGTCTCTGGCCATTGGTGATAGAACTAATACTCTAGCTTTGTGAGGAACACAGTAGTCGAGGCTTTTCCATATCTCGAACCATGTTCAGAAGACACAGAAACCCAGATTCAGGTCCAAATTATGCAAAGGAAAATGTAGCAGAGGCATTGACAATAGCTACGGAGTATGCCATCAATGAAAAGTTTGTTTTGAGCTGCTTAGGCAACAAGGTCAGTTGCTGCCACCTTGTGGTCAAGTGGAAATTTCAAACTCAAAGTAACTGCAGTAAGATGGGAGTACAAACATTCTGTGGGGTGAGGCCTGGCCTTGTTGCCTTTGCTGCCCTCCTGTCCCTGCACCAGAGTGCTGGGAATACAGGTGTGGGCCACCACACAAGTCTCACTGAAAATAGTCATTATATCTGCTCGAAAAAAATGCAGGAGATATTTCTGTATTTGTCGCTCAAGGCCCATTTCCGATCTTAAAGGATTAAATGAAATGTGTCTCTGAATATTGGTCACTAGCACAGCTTTTGAAATTATTGCGGGCATTTATTATTTGGCGACCCAATGTGTCTGTCTATATTCATTTCCCTGCCTGGCGATCAGAGTAGAGATAGAAGACATACAGGACAGAGGTAATTCTTATATTTCAGTTTCAACACAGAATAGCACTCACTGGTAGTGAGAATTTGGAAATAGTGAGAAACAGACAACCTTTTACATCCTTTTGGGTGCTTTCTTAGTCCTGCAAGTAAAAGAATAGCCATCTAGAACGAACAGAAAATACATATGGGGAGGAGGATGTATAGTTCAGTAATGGTGTGTTTATCTAGCATGCACAAGACCCCCCCCACACACACACACACTTAAAACAAAGGATATAACTATTAAACCTCATGTTACTTAAAAATGAACCTTAAGAAATGATTATGCTATCTGTAATAATTTAAATTTTATTAGTTGGAAATAATTCAACAATTTATAAAGAAAATCTGAGCTAAAGGAGTGATCACTACTTTGTATATTACACCTAACAATGTAGATGTGACCATTAGAAAGCACACAGGACCTTTGCAAAGCCACATCAGGTCCCCACTGTGTACAGCTGTCCAAGAGATCCAGGCTAGCCTCGACTAATTAATGTTCATATCTGATGCAAAGTAACCCAAAAAGTGTTATTTTCAGGACAGTTCTTTGTTGTTGCTGGTGTTTATCTTGTCAGAGGGAGTCTTGCTATGGTGTCCAGGTCTTACAGTCCTCAGCCTTCCAGGAAGATGAGTTCGCAGGTTGTACCACAGTGGCCAGCAGGTGCAACCACTTCTCACTAAGAAAGAGGCGCTGAACTTTGGCCTTCCAATTCAATAAAACATACACCTGTCTTGACCTTCTCTTCCTTTCTCAGGATAATATTTGCTTATAGCAGTGAACTTACCAAAAGGGCAGGGTTGGTGTGTCCTATGTATGATACGCAAGGCAGACAGCACTCATGCTAGGGCCCCATGGGTGTCATGCTTCATACAGGACAGAGGTAATTCTTATATTTCAAGGCCACCGTATCAGCACACCACAGAGACAATTGTGCACCATTGTTTATGGTGGCACTGTTCACAGTAGACAAATGACAGAAACTACCAGTCTAAAATACTGGAATGAATGCAGGAAATATGACCTATGTGTTGTGTAAATATATATGTATATAAAGTGTTTGAAATACCACAGGTGATGAAGCTACATAATGAAACTGGTATCAAAAATATTTTAAAATGAGTAATAGCGTGGGCGAGATGGCTCAGCTTGCTGCTATGCCTGAGGACCTGGGTTTGATCCCTGGGACTCACTTGGTGGAGAGAACTAACTCCTGAAAGCTGCCTTCTGGTTTCCACACAGGCACTGTGGCACATATATGTGCACACACACACCCTACACACAAAATAAATGTACTTTAAAAACCTGAGTAATAGATGACAGGGTCTCTCTGCAGTTGTACTGAGGAAGAACAATGCCTATCTACTCTCATCCCTTCTGAGCTGCTGTTCAGACTCCACTGATTCTTCCCATCATTTATGAGGATATGTGCTCTCTCCTAGGAACGGACCTTCAAGGACTTGCTCACATGTCATGCGCCTCCTCTTCTGAAAGATTTGGACACATACTTAGGGGACAGAGAGTGGTTTATTGGTGATTATGTGAGTACATGCATGTTTAAAAATACCAGCACTTGTATTTAGATAAGATGATAAAACTAAAACCTTACAGAGCAAAATGTTGTTCTAGCCAGGCATGGTCATGTCTATCTGTCTGTCATTCCAGCACGTGAGAGGTTGCACAGCAAGTCAGGGCCAGCCTGGGTGACCTGAGCCCTGTCTCAAAAAAAAAAAAAAAAAAGAAAAAAGAATGGGGTGGCAAATATTACTCAGAAACTAAAATAGAAAGAGGGAGAAAGAGAAAAAAAAAACTAAACTTCCCTAAACTTACTCTCTACACAGACCTGATCTGAAGTCATGGAACACTTTATATACAATAATTTTAAAAAGTTAACCTAAGAACTACTTAGGGCATGTGTGTGGAACCTGTGGGGAGTCATGTGGAGGCCACAGGTTGACTTCAGACATTATTCCTCAGTTTAGTGGGACAGGATCCCTTGCTGGCCTGGAGCTCACCAGTCAGGCAAGGCCAGCTAGCCTGAGCCCCAAGGCTGTTCCTGCCTCTGCCTTCCCAGTGCAGAGATCACAAGACTACGCCATGACATCCAGCTTTTGTACATGGGTTCTATGGCTCAAACCCAGCTCCTCACAATGCTGGCACGGGAAGCACTTTACCGACCAAACTATCTCCCCAGTCCCAGGAAACACCTTTCATATCAGTTCACTACAATCAGACCCATGATAGGATCCTCAGAAAAACAAACCCACATGCCATTGTCAGTAGAACTATTAGCAGTTCTGGGCACTGTTGGTATTGTTTTAATGACATTATGATTTGTACATAGGGAAGTGCAGTAATCGAGAATCACATCTGAAGTTACTAAGAAGCAGGGTCTTTGGAGTGGGAGAGGAGGAGACAAAAATAATCCAGCTATCATGAGTATTCCTTATATCCAGATTCTTGTCTCCTAAATAAGTAACTGGGGATTTGTAGACTAGTTGGATGTTTCTCTCCTGCCCAGCAGTGCCCAAATAGCCACTCTGAAGCTTAATATTAATTACAAACTGTTTGGCCTAACAGCTCAAGCTTATTATTAGCTAGCTCTTAAAAATTAAATTAACCCATTTCTATTATTCTGTATTTTACCATGAGGCTCCTAGCTTGCTAGCTCACATCTTGCTTCCTGGCATCTGCTGGCATCTCTCCGACTCCATATTCTCCCTCTATCTCTGTTTGGATTTCTGACCTGGCTCTATTCTGCCTGGCTATTGGCCAAATCGGCTTCTTTTTATTAGCCAATGGTAATAAAACACAGCATACAGAAGGGCATCCCACACCAGTGAACAAATGACTTATGCCCAATTTGAGAAAAGAAATATACTTTTTCCTACTAAAAGTAAATAAATTTCCATTTTTGTTGTTGTTGTTGTTGTTTTGGGTATCAAATGATTCAGAAGTCAGCCCAAGAATGGCTAGAGATGGAGCAATACAGGCTTCAATGAGAATATTAACAGCAGCAAATTCAAACAACTCAAAACAAAATAGAGGAGCTTATGATAACTTCTGCTATATCCAAACATACAACACAGCCCCCAACCCAGTTCCATGTTTGCTGTAAAGACAGAAACCTCTCAAGAACAGACACTAATGTGAGAGACTTGGTCTTCTGCCTTTTCCTGCAGGCAGTACACATTTCTTGTCAGAGAAGTACCCTAGTCATAAATACAGAATTAGAATCAACGTCATCACTTTCCAACCCCAGAGAAGCAATGGGTCCAGCTAGCAGATGCCAGAAAACACCCATATCACAGAGGGACAATGGGCAGATGCTACAGGCTTGCTTTTGGAGCAGGGACATACCCACCAAAATCAAATCTGACTGACCTCAGTGCTGGTGTAGGTGGGGTTTCTCAGCCTTTGGGGCTACTGTGTGTGAAGATAAGAGAAAGGGTTCTGTCTGTGGCTTGGGTGGCTCTGATCAGCCGACCTTGCCCCTACACCTCCACAGCTTTCCAGTACACTGCACAGACCCTCACTTCCTCCCACTTTCCTTTTCTAAATTGCCCTTTCCCTTCCCTATGTCATGAATATTTCTAATAACTGATTTTTTAAAAATTCCTATAAAAATCCCTTTGTAACCACTCCATTCCCATTCCTGAGCATTCTCGTTCTCTCTCTCTCTCTCTCTCTCTCTCTCTGTTCTTCACTGTTCCTAACTAGGCATGTCACACTTCCAGCTAAAACCTGCTAAGACTGGCATGTCTGGACCCTTGGTTAATACACACCAGCTCTTAGAAAGTTCCCCTGCACACGTTAGTCATTCCACTTTCCCTTCATCAGCCATCTCACTGTTTACTCTCTGCTAAAACAAAATTCCAGACTGGGGATGAGCTTCAGTGGCATTTGAAGGCCCTGATTTTGATACACAGAACTACAAACATCAGGGGAGGTCATTGCATTCCAGCTTGCTCTCTACCGTCCCTAACACATAGATGTGGGCACGACGCACAATAGGTACTTGATGAAGATTTCTTAGTTGAAGTGTAAATCCTCTGAACAGCAATCTCTCTTAGATGACAGCAGCCACACACAAACTGTGCACACATGCATAAAATATGCACACACAAGCAAGCTTAGTCCATACTTAAATTACACTTTGTAGCCAGCCTTGTGGAAACATTCTACCACTTCAGGCAGCCCCATATCCAGAGGGAGTTCCAGAAAAACATGCTACAGTGTCAGATTGTCTCCAACAGCAAAAACTCACTCTGCTAATGTGATCATAGAACCAATGTAATACTCCACAGATAAAGTTCAACTAACAATAGAGAACACTCAGCTGACCAAGGTTTAAGGCTGGCTGTACCCTTCACCTTGGCCAACTTCAATATTCCATTTAGGGCCAACTACCTATATAGTTACTTGTCTTTATATGTTGCAAAGATAATGGATTTTACCCAAAATCTTTTCCTTGGAATTATAGACCCTGAAGGGATAACTCATACACTGTTTATTGCTCTATACCTTACACCACAAAGAAACAAGGTAGATAACATAAGAATAATCTCAGACCCCCAGCAGGACACCTGCAGGACAGGTGTGAAATCACTGTGGCATACCAAAGAGGACATTATTCTTAATCACAAGAGTTAAAGTATGTACTCTGACATATATACACCTGGAACGAGCCTGCTTTGCTTTTTCGTACAAAGGGCTTTGGGAACAGATGGAAATCTGTGCGTTACACCCTTTGAAAATGTATTGTCAAATTGGACCTGGCTTCAAGACGGTACAGCACTGGACTGTATGCTGCCAATCACCTATCTCAGGCACCACTACCAAGTCACAGACAGTATCCCCGTGTCCCTCGGGCACAGTGTTGCTTGTCACTTCCTAATTTTATCACACACTCAGCTCTGTACTAACAGAGAGTTGTTTTTAAATTGAAACATTTTTTAGAGTAAGAATTTAAGCTTACTTTTGGAATGCTCACAGCTTTTTATATTCAATAGCAAGTCTTGTTTTTCTTTGAAACAGGTAACTTGGGCAGACTTCTACTGGGATATCTGCAGCACCACGCTGTTGGTCTTAAAGCCTGACTTGTTGGACATCCACCCCAGGCTGGCATCATTGAGGAAGAAAGTCCAAGCTATCCCTGCCATTGCTGCCTGGGTACAAAAGAGGCCCCAGACCAAGTTCTGACACAGGCCCCAGCACCAGATGAGAGCGACAACAGCCTGCCAGACGATCCACACTTCTTACTACCAACTGGACTTTTTGTTGTAGTCTGCTTGCTATGATTATTTTGTTTTTGTTCCTGTAGGCATTCAGCTTACAGTATTTTACTCTTTTCAGAACTTTGTACTTTTTATAATTGGAAATAGTTCATAATACATATTCTTTTGTATTGATTATCAACATGCATGGATGCTTTAGTAAAAATACTACTTTTCTGGCTAGTGTGTCAATTAGAATATCATTTTAACTACAAGAAATGAGGTGAAATAAAGATTTTGAAGGTAGATCTTCAATCAACAAATCGCTACACTAAAAACCAATGCCGATAATGCTCAGTGGCCAACCATGTCACTGGTCACCACTGTGTTATTCAGGTATACACCAAAATGTATAGGTTGCTTCCCCAAAATACACGTGTCTGACATGCCACAAATTGGGTACTAAAAAAAGAGAATTCCTAAAGATTTAAGTACAGACATTAGAGTTTAATTCAAATCCAACAGAAGCAGAGTTACAGAAAATGAACGCTGACTGTGAATTCAGCACTGCCACAATTCAGGAGGCTGTAGACAAAGGGGCTTTATCAGCTCACTGGCAAATACACAGGATGTGACATAGAAAGTTTGGTGGCCGAGACAAGGGACAGTGGGTTACAAAAATGAGCATCAGTGGAATGAGAAGGTAACTCACAGACTGGGAGGAAGTGTGTGCAGGACATTCAACTAATAAAGGATTGTTCCTGAAAACGAAGACCTGTGAAAAGTTAATAGTAAGGAAATAAATATCCTGGTTACAATGTCAGCCAAGAATCTGGCACCTAAGAATATATACAGGTGGCCACGAGCATGTGAAGAGGCACCAATACAACAGCCTCATGGAATTAGAATAGCAGCACAGACATCAAAGAAACACTGGAGAGGCAGTGAAGCAATGGGAAGTAGGAATAACTGTTAGCAGAATGCACAAGTTAGCACTATGTGGCCTAGTTTTCCACAAAACAAAATGTCTTACTCTGTGGTTTTCACCCAAATGACCCAAAAGCATGCCCACATTAAGCTTGAACATACATGCTGAGTGTTCCATAGAGCTATCAAAACTTAAAAACTGTTCAGCAGGTTGCAGTGCATGTCTTTAATCCCAGTACTTAGGAGACAGAGGCAGGCAGATCTCTGTGAGTTCAAGGCCGGCCTGGTCTACAGAGCAAATTCCAGGACAACCAAGATGGTTATACATAGAAACCTTGTCTCGGAAACTACCTCCAAAAATGGAGAGAGAGAGAGAGAGAGAGAGAGAGAGAGAGAGAGAGAGAGAAATTTTGGTGCATACAGATCAGGGATGGCTACTCAGGGCTAATAAGCCATGAACAGAATATGGAAGAGCCATGAACAGATACAGCTAAAGAGAAAGAGCCTACACAGAAAGGATCCAACTACATATAATGCTGGAAAAAGCAAGATGATGAGGACAGCTGAGGTTGAGAAACTGCCCATGGCACTGGTGACATTGACAAAACTGGTGGCAGATGGACAGTTCTGTGTGATGCTGTCTGTCATGGCAGGTGCATGCTCTTACATTTATAAACTAAGAACACAGGACACCAAAAGTCAGCTGCAAAGCAAACTGTGACTTAAAGGAGACCAGACGTTGATAAGTGATACCAGACTGTTCCTTGGTGCTGCCGTGAACATGAAACTTCTTTGGAAAAAAATAACAAAACAAAACAAAACAAAATCTGTGTTAGTTAGCTTTTTGTCACTGACAAACTATAATAGATTCACACAGCTTATAGGGAAGGAAGATTTATGTGGCTCCATCTCATAGACCAGCCCAATGATTGGCTGACTCCTTTGAATTAGATCTGTAGAGAAGTAAAATATCATGGTGGGCAGTGTGTAGCAAAATGACTGCTTACTTACCTCATGGTGGCTGGGAAGCAAGAGACAAAACATGGAAAGTAATTCCCTGCACAATCCTCTGTGGGCCAGTGAGATAGCTCCACAGATAAAGACACTTGCAGCCAACCCTGAAAACCTGAGATCAACCCCTGGCACCTACATAAGGGAAGCAAAAGACTGACTTCTACCTAGTACCTGTTGACCTACCCTCAGGCACTGTGGCCTGTGCACTCACACACATCTTAAAAAACCAAAGTCAGTAACCTTCCTTAAAAGAACCTTTAAATTATCCTTGAGGACTGTTTATTTTGTATTGCTTTGAGACAGGGTCTCATTCGGTATCTCAAAGCTGGCTAGAATGCACTATCTGGCCCAAACTGCCTTGAAACTCATTGCAAGCCTCCTGTTTTTCTGCTGCCATGCCTCAATTCCTATTTTAAACTAAATTGTTGGAAAGCAGACTTTTGTTTTATACCCTGGCATGACAAATGTTTACTTGGTATTTCGCAGCATACATGGAAATACTAATGAAGCAGATGGTCTTATGTTCTCTATGAGGTTCAGAGGAGAGAGAACTTCATTGCTAACGGGCAAAATAGAGGGGTGGGGAGGGAGAGTAAAGTGAAAAAAGAAATACATGTCTAGCTAGGTGTGCTCATTTAGCTAGGTGTGTTCTTTCCTTAGAAGTGTTCTCTGATTTCTGTATGTGGGGGGGGGGAGGGGGGGCTTGTATGTTATTATGTATGTTATACACAAAAACTAAGGAACTTGATCTTTTGGGTAAAATTTTGTTATTGGTGGCTGCTAATGAAACAAAACAGAATCTCATTGCACAGGTAGCTATCATGTGACTGAAACAATCTACAGTAAAAGAAAAAATCTTCAAGCAATGCTTTAATGCAGGTGGTAGTGCTTCTGTCTAGGTATTTCCCTCCATATTCCACTCCATAAAGCTAGTCTTTAATGAAAATAAAATTTAGGAAAAGCAATGGATACAACTCTTAGCAAGATAGTCTTACATACTTCTATGATTCAAGTGTAAAATGTAACCACTGCATGTTCTATAGGACAATATTTAACATATTTTAAATGTCAAGAAGAGCAGTGAAGTTAGATCTCTCCTTTATGGCTGCTTAAGAGCTGTACCAATGGAAAGCATCTTCTGACCTATCCACACCTCTACTCTGGAATTCCTACTGGCCAGAGCTGCCTGTCCTACACATATAAAGCACACTTATTATCCATGTGTGACTTGTAGTAAGAAAATGAAAAATAAGACTTACATTATGCTGGGCATTGGTGGCACACACCTTTAAACCCAGCACTCCAGAGAAAGAGGCAGGCAGATCCCCAAGGTCAAAGCCAGTCTGGTCAATAGAGAGTGAGTTCCAGAACTGTCAGGGCTACACAAAGAAACCCTGTCTAAAAAAAACCAAAAACAAAGAAACAAAACACCTGCATCAATTATTCTTAACAACTTGTAGCTTTTGTATGCTTTCTGCTAATGACTTGTAATGTTTAATGGCACCAACCCAATGAAGGCACAAGTGAGGATTCATTCTAAGTAACAAATCACAATTAACTGCCAATTAATTGCCAAATAATTTCTTGAGCACAAGACAACCCCATTTCTGCTTAATACTATCTACTTCTATGGGAAAGGATTGAAAGAGAGTTAGAATCTATTACAAAGGGTGTGAAATACAACTTAATGATCGCAAATATTTTTATTAAGCCCAAGACATAATAATAGACTATTACAGGGAGAATCCAACTACATTTCATTAGAAGAAATATTAACAACACAACAAAAATGCCTTATGTGGGAGATACATTCATACAGAAAAGTTAAGAGAAGTTTACTGTGGCTTTAAGAGGTACGCTTCCCAACAACTTGCTAAGTGACCTGGGTACTGTGATCAGGAGGAGGTAGCACTGTCACCTGCAGATTCCTGGTAGCTCTGTACTGCTGCTGTCTGTCTAATATATTCATTTAGCAGCAAACTATACTACTGAGTCTGGAGTTGTGAGAGCATATCAACCTTCTAATAGCTTACCTAGCACCTTCGTAGTCAGGATGTCTCGAAAAGTATGAGCTCCAATAATTAACAAACCTCTCATTTATAAATAAGTTTATTTATAATGATATTTACATAATAAAAACAAAACACAAAACTCACAAGTTGTACAAAGAATCTGGCGTATAATAAAAACAGCAATATAGACTGACAGGCAAAATTTAAAGGAACAGTTAATAAAGACTGAAATTTCAAAGACAATTTTACTTCTAAATTTCACTTTGTCACCCACACTGAACTGGAATTGAACAATGGCTTCTCTTCAGGTGGTCTTGTATTGGAAATCCTGGGAACTGATAATTATGTTTTGGTAAGAATTTAAAGTTAGTGACTTATTTCCATGCAGTACCTGATGCTGCCTTCGTATGGAGTCACATCCAGTCTCCTTTGAAGTGAAGTAGCTTTAAGTTAATCTGTTCTGCTGGCCTAGAGACACGTCACCAGCCTCTGCTGATCTGTGGTATGGTTGTAGGACATATACGAGAGAACTGGAGCAGAAGGGACTGGACAACCAGTTCAGAGAAGAGAAGCGGGAGAGGAGACTGATGGTAACACACACAAGAATAGGCAGATTTAATGAGCACAGAAGTTCAGTAAGAAAATGAAAAAGGGAACTGAGCCACAGAGCAGGAGAAAGACTTAAGTTACTACTCACTGGAAAACAACTTAGTGCCTAGCCAAACAAATGTATTTTAACAGAAGTAGGAAGAGGACCTGGGGATGTTAGTAGATGGAAAGCCACCTTTCGATTCAGGCTGAGTTCTTACTGACATTGGTGAACATCTGCTTCAAATAGCAATAAAATGAAGGCTAAAAAACCTATACTGCTTCATTCTTTAACAAAATAAAAACTTCAAATGAGACAGGTAAAAACAAGACATAAGCATTGTCAAATAAGGCACATGTAAATCTACACACATTATCCAGTGAAAGACAATATATATATATATATTTGGAGGTAGAAATAATTACAAAAATACTGACATTTCTAAAGCATTAGCATATTTGTTACAAACAATCACCAACTAATCCCCATTCAGAAAACTGCTT